GGGGCGGGGCGGGGGTGTGGCTGGAAGCACAGACCTAGACGCTGCTGCGGATTCCTCCCCAGAACACAGTGGGTGTCCCCGGCTCTAACTAACTGGTTTGGAGAGAAGGTCTTCCAAAAACTGTGTGTGGGCACCCATTCCCCCCAGGGGCCGTCAGAGGTCAAGGACGAGATTTGACCTGCTGGCAGTTAGAGGTGCAGAGACAGCTTCTACATTCTGGAGTGGAGACGCGGGGGGGCGGGGCGGGGGCGTCTTTATCTGAAGGAGAAGGTCACGCCCTCGCCTGAGCCAGAGCCCTTGGCCGAGCTAGACCCGCCCCCTCCGGTTGCAGAGCCTGCGCCGGAGCCACCTCCAGAGCTGTACCCGCCCCCGGAGCCGGAGCCTCCTCTAGAGCCGCCTCCAGAGCCGTAGCCTCCCCCGGAGCCGGAACCTCCTCTGGAGCCGCCTCCAGAGCCGTATTTTCCCCCAGAGCCCCCCCCGGAGCCGTATCCTCCTCCGCCACCGCCTCTGGACCCGGAGCCTCTGCCTCCGGAGCCTCCAAAGCCGGCCTTGGATGCCACATTCGAAGAAATGGTGCTGCTCGTCACCGCTGCGGAGAGAGGCGTTGCCGCAGCCGTTAGGACTGCCTCCCCCGACACGCCACCCCGGAGGATAGGGCCACACGCCCCCACAACTCCCCCTCCAACTTACACACAGTCACGTTGCTGCTGAGGTCTTCAGACATCCTGTCAGGGAGAAAGAGAAAGCAGCCTGTGGCACAACACCCGGGTTCGGGGTGCGTGTTTGGTTGACAAGGTCCACCGACAAATGTGCGGTTTAGCCTTTAACGTCAGCCCCCAGGGTCTTACAGACCCCACTTGCTTCTGTGCCGCCGGATCACAGAAGTGCTGGCAGACCCCAGGTGGATGCTTGGCCTTGCATCTCAATCCATCTCAATCTTTTGCTCATGGTTGATCCGAAGCGAATGAAAAGCAAATCCACTTCTGACTCTGGCGCCTTGCTCTCTCTTAGACGACCAGAGAAGGCTCCGACCTAGAGAGCCTGTCACTCAGAAGCCATGCGGCCCCAGAAGTTGTATCGTGAGGTTGCACTATGGACCTCCATTTCGGGAAGAGCCAAGACTCCGTACAGTCTTCCTTACCCTCCCTCCCTCCCTACTACCTCTGCTCCAGTTAAAACCTTCCTACTTCCTCTTGCAAGCTGGGGACAGGAAATATTACTTCACAGATAGGCAGCATCACCGCACGATCAGGTACAGAGTGACAGCCTGAAGGAAGCTGCTCCCTCCCTGTCATACAGGCTTGCTAATGGTCTGGGGTAACTTTTCCTCTTCCAATTGCTCCAGCCAGATTAAGTCACCCAAGACACCCCAACAACATGGGCAAAGGTCCAGACTACAGAGGAAGCAATGGGCCCCTCTTTGAAAGTTAGCAAATGCTTCTGTTTGTCACTCCAGAAACCTGCAACAATCTAGGGCTGGCGCCTGCCCTGGTAAACATGTCCCAACTAGACAGCGCATGCCAACACGTAACCTCCCCTGTTCTGGGTCCCACGGCAGAGGGAGAAATGGCCACGTATACCCTGCAGACTAGACACCAATGTCTCAGACTGGGTAGAACTAGCCTGCCTTCACATTGTTTAGTTTTCACCTTCAGAAAAGACAGGGATGTTTAACCCACTGCTTAAATTCAGCAAATGTGCCTGTGAGCCCTTTCACACTGATAAGTATACAGTTCCCCAGCCATGCTTGTGTCCTGAACTTCTGCTTGAGGACACGGAGAATGTCAGCTTTCATCCACCAGAAGGCCCGTGTCCCCGCTCTCCCCGCCTTTGCTCATGGCCCTGGTTCTAGCAAAAAGGAGAGAGCGGACCTGGGTGCCTCCCTCCCCTACCGGTGTCCTCACCTGTACTCCTCGCCCTCCAGCAGCTTGCGGTAGGTGGCGATCTCCACGTCCAGGGCCAGCTTCACGTTCATCAGCTCCTGGTAGTCGCGCAGCAGCCGGGCCAGGTCCTCCCGGGCCTGCTGCAGGGCCTCCTCCATGTCGGTGAGCTTGTTCCTGGCGTCCTTGAGGGCGTGCTCCCCACGCTGCTCGGCATCTGCGATGGCATCTTGCACACTCTTGCACTGTGAGAGAAGGACGGGGAGCAGAAGTGTGGGTGTGCAGGGTGTGGGAAGTCAGAAGCACAGGGTGCTCCCAGAGTTAACACAAGTTACAGTGGCTCATGCCTATAATCCCGGCACTTTGGGAGGCCAAGGTGGGAAGATCACTTGAGGCCATGAGTTCGAGACTAGCCTGGGCAACACAGCAGGACCTCAACTCTACCAAAAAAAAATTTTTAAATTAGCAGGGTGTAGTGGTGCATGCCTGTGGTCCCAGCACTTTGGGAGGCTGAGGCGAGAGGATCACCTGAGCCCAGGAGGATGAAGCTGCAGTGAACTGTGATCATGCCAACGCACTCCAGCCTGGGAGGCAGAGTGAGACCCAGACTCAAAAAAAAAAGCCTTAAATTATGTGAAGCTAGGAGAGTATGGGATGGGTATATGCTGCAGTGGTTAATTTCTCCTGTCTCACACACATACACACACGCCCCAGAGACAGCCTTCCACCCCTCCCTGCAGGCCAGCTGGACCAATGGTGGGCCAGGCCTCACCTGCTTCTTCACATGGGCGATCTCCCCCTGAAGCCTTTGGATCATGCGGTTTAGCTCGCTGATCTCCGTCTTGATCTCCCGCAGGCTGTCGCCGTGTTTCCCAGCGGTCACCTGGAGCTCCTCATACTGACACGGGGAGAGAAGGACAGTTCACCAGGAAGTTCCAGCCTGGCTCAAGTTCCAACCTTGAGCCAAGGAGAGGCTGGTTACCAGTGCAGGGAGGATCGACCCAGCTGAATGTCGTGGCTGCGTTCACGGGAGATGGGGACCATCTCACATCCCTAAAAGCACTCGGTGCCATTCTGGACACCTTTTCTTGGGAATGGTCCCCAATTTCCATGAGACAGGGCATCCACAGTCTTACTGTGCAATTCCCACGGCGGTGGGCGGGGGCGCAGCCCAGCTTGTTGCAGGGAGTACTTGCCTTGCTGTGGTACAGGGCCTCTGCTTCTTCCTTGCTCCTCTCGGCAATCTCCTCGTACTGGGTACGGACCTCATTGATGATACCATCCAGGTCCAGGGAGCGGTTGTTGTCCATGGACAGGATGACGTTGGTGTCAGTGACAGACTGTTGTATCTGGGACAGCTCCTAAGACACACAGGGAAGTTTGGCCGTGATTTCCTGACCTCAGCCACAAGCAAGGGGGAAGCTGCCTCCATTCCCGGAATAAGCTTACGCTGGCTGGGATTCAAATGATGTAACCACTATTCCTAGGCCGCTCCCAAGGTTGTCCTGAGAATTATGGGGACAGGTGCCTGTGTTTCTAAGCCTTCACCACTTATGCCGGTTATCAGAGGTACTCCCAGAAAGAAGCTGTTCTGGGATAAATACCTTAAACTTTTCTTCCTGTTTCAGAAAGCATGCATGGGCACTTGGGTGGGGGAGATGGGAGCAGGAGACATGATGTGTTCTGACCTCGGAAATGTATTGGATATAGGAATGGATATCGGATAGGTCTCTTCCTAAGGGGAGCTGGACTTTTGGGGCATGGAGGTGGAAGAAGCTGTCCTGATGTTTCTGGAACTTGCTTGCTATGCCATCTGAGGAGAAAGTTCCTCTCCCTCAAGACCTATGCTCCAGAAGCCCCCCAGTGGTCGAACTGATGGCAAGTTGAAGTCAGCCAGTCCGTAAGGGCCATTCCAACCACCGTTTCACCCACTGGAAGGGCTTGTCTTTGGTGGGAGGACTGGGAGGTGAGGATCTTTCTGGGAGCAGCCTCCTTACTGTGTTAAAGAGGACCTTCAGGAACTCAAGCTCCTGGTTCAGCGCATCCACTCTGGCCTGCAGCTCCACCTTGGTCATGTAGGTATTGTCCACATCCTGCAGGAAAGGTCAGGGGCCTCTGGTGAAACTGACGTCCCACCTCCTCCCACCTTGCAGGGTTCCCTGTATGAACTCCGCTCCTTCTCCTCCACCCAGTCTCTGTTAGCTTATCTCCCCATCCCAGGCACCTCGAGTGAACCACGGCCCCATGGCACCCACCATGCACCTCTGCCAGGGACTCCATGCCCACATCTACCACTCACACCCTCAGACCATCAGAGCTCAGATGGAACCAAATTTTGCCAACCAGTCTCTCCCTCCTGCTCGAGACACAGTGTCTCGATGTCATGATGGGGTACAATGTCCTCTGTGTGCTTCCACAGTCCCCCACTCTCTCATCCTGTCCATGCATCCCACATCTCCTGAATGTTCCCGGATTATACTACTTCCTGTTTCCCCGGATTATACTTCCTGTTATACACAAAGCCCTTGATGAACGCGGGATGAGGACCCATACTTTCAGCTTTCTAGCCAAAACCTGTGTCAGCACAACTGACAGCATCTGGAAACAGGCATCCAAGGGAAAGTCCTGCTTCAGTTCTCAAGGAGAAGAATAAAGTGCTTCCTGGGTTTGCATTGATCATTGTTCATGATCCAGCATAGATTTCAAGTGGATTATTACTGGGAAGCGCCCTATCAAAAATGCAGTATACCTTGACAACTGTACCAGAACCTTGAGCTTCAGAGACACTTTGCAAGAGAACAGGCCACAGGTGGGTATCACCCCTTTCTGGCCACTGCTGTTTGCATTCATGGCTGTTCTCTAGCCTGTCTGTTTAGATACAATGGGCTGTGAAGTACTCTCAGCCCCTCCCCCAGGCAAGACAGTCTCTTGCTCACCTTTTTAAGCGTCACAAAGTCATTCTCCGCAGCAGTGCGCTTATTGATTTCATCCTCATACCTGTTGGGACCCAGATGATACAGCAGTTAGACTCGTTCTTTTTTTTTTTTTTTTTCTTTTTCTACTAGATTCCCCCAACATGCCCCCATTCTCTGGGAATATTAAACACTCTTTCAGTGTCTACATTGAAACTAGGATATCCCAAACGAGGATAGATTTTTATACCTCAACTCTCAAACATGTAAAAACAAATATGATCTCAACAGCCCTCATGTCTTCCTCACAGATCATGAACACAGATACAGATGCCCCTCCCCTTAATCAGCACAAATGCCATTGAGAATGAGTGGCTTTCTGGGGGAAGGATCAGGGGGCTCAGCTCAGTGTTTATCTCCACTCAGAAGCTCCTCTGCCACCTACTTCTTTTTATAATCCTCCACAAGATCCTGCATGTTGTTCAGCTCTGAATCCTGTGATGTTCTCTGTGCAGAGAGCCCATCCAGGTGCTTCTTGAGGCTGTCGATGTATGCTTGGAAGATGGGGTCCAGGTTGGGGGTATGGGTGCTCACGTTCATCTGCTGCAGCAGCTCCCATTTGGTCTGCAGTACCTGGTTCTGCTGCTCCAGGAACCTCACCTGCACAGCAAGAAGGGGTGGGGGGTGCATCAGCTCCAGACCATCCTTCATGCCTGAAGGCCACGCTGACCAAGTGTCATTTTGGGACTTCGTCCTCACCCGCCGGATGCCGGGTCTCACCAGGCCATGCCAGACAGAGCTTCTGAGCTCCCCGCCTTCACCCTTGGAAAGTCTCACAGATACTTAATGCTATACCCAGCCCTCTCTCCATGCAGAGAACTCTCTTTCCTGCTCCACTGCCCACTGTTTTGTTTGTAGCTTCTCCCAAGACTCCAGGCTATTTCCCTTCCCGATCCTGGCTGAGTTTTTGGCAAAGGTCCCACAAATTCTGGGGAAAACCAAAAGCAGGCATCTCCTGGCCCTGCTCCTGGGGAGCCAAGCATGAGTAGTGGAGGGCGGGGCTCCTCCACCTGGTTTTTAAGAGCCTTGTAAATTTCTGTCTATTTCAAGGTAGATAAACCAAGACATTTATCTGCCTTGAAATAAGAGGAAGCCCAGTAACACTCGAAAGTGACACCAATAAAGACTTTATAGATCTCAAAGCTGAGGATGCTTCTCTTGAAGGCAGGAATTTCATTCATCCCCAAGCAGATTATTCAAGTTCTGCATCCCAGGTTTAATAGAGTAATCACCTCTGGGGAAGGAAAGACAACCTCAGATGAAGATGTCTTACCAATCCCTTCCAAAACCTGCAATCCTGTGGCCTCAAATAGCCTGTCCAATATGTGCCTATATCCATTTTTCCATGGTTTTCAGAACTTGCCAGAGATATTCTTTACTTGGACTGCAACAATAAAGCCAAAGGAACAGAAGATTCCTAACTGTCATTATGGAACACGCAGTCCACAAAGCCAGCATCTTGCCTATTTGGAAACTGCAAATAACCCCAGGCGACTATGCTGTACCAGTGGCTCCTAAGAGAAAGGAATCAGTGCCGTTTTCTTTTCCATGAGCACCGGCAGTGAGGCGTCCAGAGCATCAGAGGGAGCCATCTTCTCCGGACTCACCTTATCGATGAAGGAGGCAAACTTGTTGTTGAGCGTTTTGATCTGCTCCCGCTCCTGGGACTTCACATTCTGAATCTCTGGGTCAACTTTCACATTGAGAGGCTGCAGGAGGCTCTGGTTGACAGACACTTCGTGGATGCCACGACCAGGGTATCCTCCAGGCCCGAAGCCACCGGGACCCCCAAAGCCGCCGGGACCCCCAAAGCCGCCAGGACCCCCAAAACCTCCAAAGCCACCGCCGCCTCCAAAGCGGCCTCCGCCAAAGTTGCCTCCACCGAAGCCACCACCTCCAAAGCTGCTGCCTCCTCCGAAGCTACTGCTGCCTCCAAAACCGCCTCCTCGGCCACCAAATCCACCATAGGAGCCAAAGCCTCCACCTCCTCCAGCCACACTAATGGAGATACTCTTGGTCCCTCCGAGGCCAACGAGACTTCGGCTGCCAAAGCCACCGCTGCCACCACCACCGAAGCCCCCACTGCCACCGCCACCTCCATGACGGCTCAAGCAGGAGAAGCCAGAGGTGGATCTCCGGCTGCCAGACACCACAGCTGAGCCACTGCTGAAGCCCCGGAATCCTCCACCTCCTCCTCTTCCTCGAGATTTGCACGTGATCTGACAACTCATGATGCCTTTGCTGGGTGAGGAAAGTGAGGAAAGCCGAAGATCCCTGAGAAGAGTCAAGGCTGGAGATTCGACTCTGCCGCGTTGGAAGATGGTCAGGGTCCTCTTATATACCCGTGGACTAGGTGTTGGTGTGCCTGGGTGTGGGCCCGCATCTGCATGGGTTGGTCTGCCTGGGAGCTATTCCTGGTGAGTGATTATCAAGCTAATAGCCATTCAAATTCTACTAATCAGCTCCATTCCAGAACTTGCTTTGATTGCAAACTTCTGTTTATCTAGACATCTGTCACGTCATTTGATTTTTGTAAAATCATCAGAAGAGGAGATCAGGACTGGGGTTTCTCAATCTTAAAAAGGACCTCCTGAAGAATGCTGCTCCCTGTTCTGGACTGACCCAAGGGAGGCTGGCTACCACCTGGGCCTGTGCAGACTCGCCACCCCAGCTCAGTGATGACAGGGATGACAGGTTTAGAGACCGACTGTGAGGGCCCCTCAGCACAGGCATTGTGGGTCTCCCCACGTTTCCCTCTGCTGCAGGAAGACTCTCAGCAAGCACGGGGGAGATGGCGGGGAGGTGGGGAAGCCACATCCTCTTACAGAAAGATGATGTGCAATGTTGTCACTTCACAAAATGTCTCGGCTCCTTTCTTCCCACACCAGAAAGACACAATAACAGGGCTCTGAGTAGAGGAGGTATTTTTCTCTATAACCAGAAGATTTCATAACTGTCAAATCTGTCCCTTTCCTACATGCAAACCCACAGGATGAGGGGCTTGAGGAAGGTTTCCTTCTCTGTTCCTGGGTCTGTGGGACTTGGGGCACCCAATGAAAGGATGCAGTCAAAGCCTTGACAAACTCCAAGACACAAATGTATGTTGATTCAGCCAGAGAGTAGTCATTGACAGCCTGGAGATTCTGTGAAACAGCTAAGTCAGGCTCTTCAATGATATCCAGTGATGCAGGGGACGTGGGAAGACTCATGCAGCCCAGCCAGAGTCACTGAATGCACAGAGCACACACATCCAAGCTCAAACACGTTCTTTCCTTTGTCCATTGGCTAAGGATGTGGGAGAGATGCTTTGGAACAATAGAATTGAGTTTAAAGTCAGAGCTCTGGGTCTGAGTCCCAGTCTTGCCATTTATTGGCTGTGTGGTCTTGAATTAAACTCTGAAGTTCTGCATTCTTAACTATAAAACGGGAAATTCATATGAAGCATTTTGAAAACCGTGACACATAATACAAATGCTAGTATCATTATTGTTTTGGGTGAGACAAAGCTGTCTTCTCTTTCTTTCACCCTGGGCATGTCATTCCCTCTTCTGATGGCTATGACCATGCACTCTCCACAGGCACCGATAACTACAGAGCCACATTGTTCAGATCCTCATACAAGGTTAGCATAAAATAATGTAAAAAATAATAATAATAAGTGACTGGGTGCAGTGGCGCATGCCTATAATCCTAGCACTTTAGGAGGCTGAGGCAGGAACATTGCTTGAACCCAGGAGTTCAAGACAGGCCTGGCAAAAGAGTGAGACCCTGCCTTTATAAAAATTACAAAAATTAGCCCGAGTGTGGTGGCACACGCCTGCGGTGCCAGCTACTCAGGAGGCTGAGGCAGAAGGATCTCCTGAGCCGAGGAGGTCGAGGCTGTGGTGAACCATGATCATGCCACTGCACTCCAGCCTGGACAACAGCGTGAAAACCTGACTCATAAACAAACTACATATATATATTTTGAGCTCAAGTCCCAATTTCATTGTATTTTACTTAAATGACCTTGGATAATTCATAATCCTCTTTTTGCCTCAATTTCCTCATCCATAAAAAGTGAATAAGAAGAATATGGTTGTTGTGAAGACAGAACGGGATAATACTCATGTGCTATACACAGTTTCTAGGTAATAGCAGAAATTCCATAAATGCTATGTACCTTCCTGCACCTCCCACCCACCTAGTTTCTAATCCTGTCTCCTAACTACATGGCAGGGGCAGGCATGGCGATAGAGAACAGGGAAGGATCCCAGACATTTGACTTGCAGTAAAAGAATGCTGAAGGAAGCAAATTCACGTGTCTCCCTGTTTTTTTTTTCTTTTAATGTTTTTTTCCCTGATCTGGCTTATATAATTATAATCATGCAAACAAATCATTAACTAAAAGCTTTGGAGAGAGTTTCAATCCATAGCCAAGTATGTCATTATCTGGATATCTGAGCTACGCCCTCATGGTCCATTACTCCACCGTGACTGTGCCGAGGCCCTGCCAGCTTCAGCAGGGTCTTAGTCCCTCGGGAGGTAAGGAATAAGTGTAGATGGAGTCTCTGCCGTGTTTCGGGTCTGCACCAGGTCTGTAGACTGCACGTTTCCCCGCATTTTAACTCTGCTTTCATACCTCCCTTCTCTCCCTCCCTTCTCTCTACACTTGAACATCTGACCCTTCTAGACCCAGTTTCTGAAAGTCAACTTGAAGGAGAGTCCTGCTGCTCTCTTGGAATGTGGAGGGCGATTTAATACAACTTGGATATTATGTCATATGTTTTTAAAGTTTCACCTTTTACATAATCTCAATGTGCTTTCAGAGATCATATGCCTTGCCTCCTCTCAGGCAGGGAAATGGGAGCAAAGAATCTTGGTCTGGATGTGATTTTACCACTGACTTTTACTGTGCTCCTCAATCTCTTCATCTATAAAACAGGAATATTTATTGCAGATCGCCAATGTCCCACAAAGACATTGACCTGTGGGTGTAAAGGGTTTTAAGCTTTGATATCTCCTACCTGCTCTCACTTTTTCTTTCAACAAGCTACCAGCAAGTCCAAGATCCTAAGAGCTTCTGTGCACAGGTTTTCAAAATCACATCTATTGACTGGTGGAACAGAAGAACGAGCATTCAGTGTTAAACAGAGAAAGGGTTAACTGTTTAGCTGAGGGGCCAGGTATGGATGCTACCTGCAAATTCTCCAGTTGGGAATTCATCTCCTCTCTCCTGTACCCTGTAGTAGTATGTCTACCTCCCTCACAGCCTTCTGTCGCAATGAGCCATGCCCCCGGACTTCTACAAGGCACAGTCAGAGTCAGAGTCAGATTTTTCTTTGCCCAAACCTCCATCCCCTCAGCACAGAGCAGTCACTTGGGGATTAAGTCTACATTCCAAAAGCCGCTTCTGTGGTGTGGGCCTGAACTGCAGTGTTTTCCAGAGGTACGGGTATCAATTAGTGACACTCTGAGTCTTAATTCTTGGGGAGTTGTCTCAGGATTCTGTCACCCCCCCATCAGGATTTCCTACCCAGGTCAGGGAGCTCCGTCTCTCCTTCCCCAAGACTCGGTCAGGCAGAGCTGCCCAGTCCTCAAGCCGGGGGCTCACACTGCCTGGGAATGGAAGCCAAGAGTTTGGGTTTAAAAAACAAAATCAAAACAAACAAACCCAAAAGCCTCCTCTTCCAGCCCCTGCTGCTGTGGAAGGAGCCAAAGCCCACAGAGTCCAATAATGTCAAGAAAGAAGTTACAAACACAGAGAGGCTAGTCAGCAGGAGACTGGAAACAAGCTGTCCCGCAGCACGGCCCCAAGGGTAGTGGAGGCCTGGCCTCCGCACGCCCTGCAGACTTCAGTGTGTGCCATCAGAGCACCGTGTGAAGCTCCGGAGAATTCCGCAGCTCCACTGGCTCCCAGAGAGGGTGGGACAGGAGACTGCCGAGCTCCCAACAGGAGTGACTTGCCCAATGTCGCCCTCCAGGGCATCTCTTTGCCAATGGTTATTCAAAAATTGCTTACTCAGTCTGTAGTCCCAGCCTCCGACCCAGTTCCCCATTGAGGCCTGGGCTCCCCTCCTTTCTTATCTAACATCTTCTTTTTCAGTGATTTTTTTCTTCCAGTCAACCCCTTTTCTTACACGAGACCTGTGGCTGTTGATTTCCAGGTCTCCTGGCTAAACTGGTTGTGACTGAGAAACCGGCTGGCAGGCAGCCCGGTCCACCCTGCACATGAGGCACCGAATGTTCCCACTGTGCAGAACCCCGTACTGGAATGAGGAGATACCAGGATGTGCAAACCAGACCTCTCAGGAAAGCAGGGTGGCCTGCAGGGATCCTGCAGACCTGCCCCATGCACCGTAGGGGACCCACACTGCCGGTCAGACTAATGCAGCCTTCCAGGAAAGGTAGACTCCAGCCTAGCACCCAGCACAGAGCAAGTACTTGACAAATGTCACCTCCTTTCCCATTGCCGTGGCTGTCAACGTCCCATGCAGTTCTAATTTTCTAACTGGGCCCAGAAAATCTGACCCAGAAAATGGGAAGTTGCACATTCTCTCTGTGTTCTCGGTGGGGTCAGTCTCCAGCTAAATTAGCCATTTCATGTCACAAGCTACCTACGACTCGCTAGGGCCTGGGCCCTTTTTGCTACATGCAGTCTGGCAAACAATACTAGTGTGATGTGTGGCTGTGTGCTCCCCCCTACAACATGTCTTCATTCACACAGAAAGTGCCAGAAGGGCCCTCCAGGAAAAGCTCTTGCTGCTCCCAGTCCCAGGTTGCAGTTAAAGCATGCCCCTGGACCAAGTTCTCCTCCCAGTCTGGCTCCAATATTCTTACTTTATCCCTTCCTCATATGGCCACCCAAACTTGGAAGAACAAAGAAGTTGTCAAATGTTCCATCCCATCCTCATTGTGATTTTGGAAAAATGGAGTCACCATAATTATACCACTCACGCCTCCCTCACAGTTCAGAGAAGTCTCCAGGTTTTGCCAGATGTAATGCTGCCCCGTTCTAGCCCAACCCCTCCATCCTAGGGAGCCTTCCTACTAATTTGATATTGCATTGCTGCCGTGGATGGTGACCACTCGCTTTTGGCGCCTCCACCTGGACTCCTGCCATTTCTCTGGCAGCAGCCTGTGCTCAGTGCCCACAGGGAGCTCCATCGACATCCCCACCTTCCCTCCCACCCCTGCCCTGCTTCATCCTTCCCCGTCACTTAGAGCTGCCCCCATGCCCTTGTGAGCTCTTTTACTTCTTTTTTTTTAAT